AATTAAGACTATAAAATTATTAACTATGAATTCGATTAAGTTATGAATAGACTGAATTTAMGGTAGATATGATGACAGTTACAATGTCTATACTGAAATAGAAAATTAATTGACAGAGCTTATTTTACGTGTTCTCGGAAACATAAATAAATAATGTGTATTGAAAYTTGAAACGTATTTGGAATTGTTTTGGGCACACTTATGTGAGGGAAAATAATAAAAAGTTTTGAATTGAAGCCTTTTTTCTTCCATGGTCGACAAAGTTGAGAACTACAAAAAAAGATCACCAGTCAAAAAGTTTATAAAGACCACTGATAATTGATATAGACTATAATAATATTAATAGAGGTGTATATGAAATTACTGTCGACTCTTGAAAAAAATATGGGAACAATAATGGTTATAATATTCTTACCTATGTCATATATAGTATAACAATGACTTATTTGTGCATCCAGCCATCCTATATTATACGCATTGACTTATACCGATCAGCGGGTGATTTTCGGCAACCGGTCGGCATGTGTCTAAGTGTCATCGGTCTAGATGTGATTAAGACTCGTTTCATCACTAAACATCTGAACACGCGACCGTGAAAAACGAAAAACCAAACGCAGAGACGGTGAGCGATCGAGAATAAAACGGCGGGGACGATTTCCGCGAAAACGGCCGCGACGATTTATGAAGACTGACGGAAAAATATATTGTGGTCACCCGCGGCTCACCACGAGTATACCGTWAACGATACGGTCGACGGTCGCTGCGGCATTGATGTTTATACCATGGTCGGAGCACGCGTGCAGGTTTAGAACCTCACGGCGCTGGATTTTGCTGATAAATGTTTCGGTGCCAACTTTACGAATACGCGTGAGTCTGCCCCTTAGATCATATACTATAGATGTAGCCACTCGGTATATATGCTTGTGTATCAGATTTGAAGCCAAAATGACTGAAAACGCTAGAGCCTTGGTCATTACTGCGCATGCGTAAATTACYGATAATAGTATAGTATAATATGATATTATTTTTTAATTTATTAACCAATCAGAATTACGCGCATGCGCACAAACAGTCGGGGCTCTGGGTTATTCTGGCTTCAAGAATTAGCCCGATGGCTTCATCCATTGCAAATGATCTAAGGTCTGCCCGCAAATTCCACAATGAATTGTAGCTAACCTGCGTTCCTCCATACGCTGGTAACCGCGGTAAACTCGGCCAGTGGGCCACCTATAGGGTTATGTTATAAGTGTTCACTGTTGGTATACCTATACACTTTTGGCCAGTGGATTACCGTGGTATTATTTGATCATTTGACCATTGCAGTTTTACAACTTACAACAATTAAACATCAGTTTTCACCGATTCACAGCTATTTTCGGACGAACAGTTTTCGCATAGCCGTCCACTAAGTGCATAATATAATAAAATTAATATGGCGATGCAGTGCAGCATCGCAAAGTTTTTGTAAAACAGATCTTCTCGTGGCGGCTTAGCCATGAATACATRTTTCAGTAAATATTTTAAATACAAATATTTACATATATAACAATATTACCCAGCATGACTTTCCGTTTTTTCAAAAGATATTTTGGCAGAGGAATTTATAACCCTCTAACCGTACCTGGCTAGTGGCTACGCTCAACTGGTCAATGATCATATAAACAATAATCCTACGTATATTTGAGAGCTTTGTTACTTCCGGTCCGATGAAGCTCATCTCACCAGCAGTTTCTCGAAGACGGTTCATCATGCTGGTAATACCTATACTCATCAATCATCAATGTACTTAGGTATATTGGCTATATTATYATAACAGATTACTAGATTAGGACCTGCCATAATTAGAAGAATTAACAATTAATAAGAAAAATTATCATTACATAATAAAGAAACGCAATAATTCATTTTTGTTATGTTTTGTATTATATTTAGTTAAAACTATTTGATATCAGATCCTAGGCATTGGTATGTAAATTTGAGCCATCAGGTCCAGACCAACACGCAGTAATAATGTTTCGACATTGGTATACGTATACCACAACATCATATAATATAACAAATATGTGAGTATATTAATATTTAAATACAATATATATATTATGTACATTATATGATACACATAAATAAATATAGTATTAAACATAGTATACCTATAATACTTAATCGGACAAGAAAATAAAAAATAAAACGTATCACAATAGAAGTAGGTGGTACATTTAATAATACATTAATACATATAAATAAATCAACAAATTACAGTGGTAATATATTATAATTTAAAGTAGTATGATAATTTTGATTTTCTAAGTTAATATTATTTACACTCGCAGGACACGTGTGTGTACAAAACGTAAATAATATTATAATATTAATAGTAGGTTTACAATATAATGATAATATACATATAAGGAAAARAAAACGATGAGATACGCCGGAATGCGTGCGTTGAGGAATAGTAGTTAAACGCACGTCGATGGACGAATGAGAAAGGCGAACGACGAATTTCGAAACCATTTCAGCGTTCGACCTAATAATACTTAATACGATGATAATATTATTATCGGCTAATGGTGTATTGGTTTGTAATCGTTCTTGAACCGTTCTATAACAATAATAAATTATTATTATTATAWGACACGCGGATTTGTGGCTGACTGAAATTATGTACTTTTAGGTACGACGCTCYGCAGTGGAAGATCTTCTCATTATACCTCGGTTAGGAATTAATCTGAGTTYAATCTTATGATATTAATTTCACAATCATTTTATTTTGAATTTTTGGCGCTAATATAATATAATATTCATATACCTAATAGACGAAAGATTGAGAAATATGTTAAAACAACGGTCAAAGMTAATAATGTAAGTATCTACCAGCTATAAGAATAAGTTTTCCTATGAGCCCGGGATTGTTGTGACAGTTTTCATTGTTTATACCGCAAAGCTATACGGTCACCATCACTTTAAAATAGTAATAACTCTAAATAAGTAAATCATTCTCCCCGACACTATTTTTTTTTATTCTTATCGAATCGATATGACAACTATAGACCATGAGACAATAGTCTCATCGCAAATCACGTTAACAAAATAAAATGCTACTCTGCTCGGGTTACCCGCCCTCTAACCACTATACCGTTGTCAGTTGTAAGTATCATATAGAATGACGAAAATAAATTAAAAATGAAATAATAATAATAGTTTTAACGCCATCACTGTAAAACAATATGAAAAAACAATCAATAATATGATAYAATAATAATTCATAAAAGGCCCTACGGCGCTACAGATTTGTGCCGAGTGTTGCGCTTTATACGGTTTAAGTGGCGACCAGTGTTACCGTCGCATGGTAGTCCTCTGAAATAGTAATCAAAAAATGATGATGATTAATAAGTGGCGAAGCAGCCGATCAGTAGGGCCTCCAGACGGCCAAGTCGGTATGCTGTTGCTGCTGCTGCTGTCGGTCGCTGTACCGGCCGCCGATGGATATGATGTCACTCGCCTGATGGTGTTCGTCGAGCGATACGGCGGGAGGTGGCGGTAACAGTCCGATTTCGATGCCACGCGCGTTCGCTCCACCGCTGCCGGCCGCGCTGATAGCTAACTGCGCGGCAGGATTGCCTGCAACTGCGACCGCGGCCAACGCGGCCACGTCGTCCACGACGTACTGGTGGTGTTCGACAGCGGACGGGTCCTTGATGCTGTTGTTGTTGTTGTTGTTGTTGTTGTTTATGTGCAATTGCTGCAGTTGATGTTCGGCCGCAGACGACGGTGCGTGCAGATGCAGGTGTATCTGATTCTGATTCACCGTCGAGTATAGGTGCGGGTATAGCACCATAGTGGTGGGCGGTGGCACGGGCGGTGGTTCGGCGGTCATCTGTACCGGGTGGTGCGGTGGAGGCGGCGGCGGTGGCGGTGGTACCACTGCCGTGTTGTACTGGTACGTGACCGCTGCTGGGTGGTGATGGTGATGATGGTACGACGACGGATGATGGTGATGGTGGGGTTCCACGGTCGGCCAAGACGACGGGTAATAGCCACTGCCAACGCCTGTATCCAAATTCTGCTGATGGAGCGCTGGTTTTAAGAGCTCCTGTTGATGTTGCTGTTGGTGCTCGTGTTGCTGGTGCTGTTGTTGTTGATGATGGTGGTGGTGTTGATGTTGTTGGTGTGTACCGCAAAAGTCTGCCATGTGGTTGTTTTGCTGTACTTCCGGATGGCCGCTTCCGTACACTGCAGCACAGACGAAAAAACGTGTTTTATTAGTAAATGGCAAGTACAATAAATATGTGTTTTTTATAAATGTTTAAAATAATTGGTCAAAAAAGCAATTGAATTATAGGCAAGCACGGCAAAAAACGAGTGTAGATTATAGATAAATATTAATATTATGCAGATCAGAGAATTCTGCAGTTTTGCAATACCTARTTCAAAAAAATAGATAGTTGCAGCTTACAAAAATGACAACCACAGATTAATAAGTATTAAGTAAATAAATTAAGCGGGAAGAAGAAGAATTTAGTATAAAAATAAAATATAAATTTCTTATTGGTATATTGAGGCTCTAACCATTTATTGGACATATAAAGTATCATTTTTTTGATATATTTAATTTTTTTAAATTGGCTGATTTTATGGTTACAGGGCCTAACGTTTAATAGGTAACCATATCATAGAATATAGTTGTTTTATCTTAATTTTCAAAAATTGTGTTGTTCAATTAAATATTTATCTGATTTTGCGATTTCAGGCTTGCAGGTAGGTCGAGCTTACGAAAGAGCTTACACCAAAGCCTAGGGTCGTGGAGCTCTGGAAAAATATTAAGTGTATAAAAAGAAATATAAAAAAAATTCAGTATAGTTTTCGCATACGGACTATGTATTAGGTAGTATTTAAAAAGCACGCCCAGCCATCAATGACTATAACAATGAGTATAATTTKATAACTATACAGTGCAGTKAAGTGAAATATACTGCAGGGTACCTAATGGATTATACGCATGCTCACTTTCATTTTTAACTTAACTGTGAATTAATTCAAATTTTGATTTCTAGAATTTTTAGAATAGGTGTATTTGAGTTTGCATAAGAACCATATTATAAAATTTTTATTTTTATCAACAATATTAAGGAGTTACCCGAAGAATTTTTACCTGATATACAAATTTATTTCATTTTTTAATTTGTGGAACATCAATAAATACTTATGCGCCATCCCCCCCTCCCCGATCATATTAAGCAGATGCACTCGTGTTTACTACTCTCAAATCTCGATGCTACCAACTGGTAAATGCATATAGTATCTATCTACAATCTTCATCAATGAATTTACGAACATCGGTATCGTGCAGGTCATATAGAACCAATTATATAGGTGATGGATCATCGAAGGACGACGATAAAATGGATATAAATCTCATATTTATATAAATAACTGATCTAAAGGCATAAGYGGGTATTTTATCTCGTTAGAAAGTATATGATATTATTATTTATAATAGGTACGATCCATTCTTCCATACCTTTAATAATATAGCAATACTTTTTATGTACTAAATATTATAGCTATATTTATACATGAAACGGGACCAAAACATTTATTACTTGTAACATACGTGTAGGTACCTATATATATAAATATAATGTGTGATGGAGAAATTTTAACGCGTTAATGTATACAAACATTTTGGTGAGTTTTAGTTCCGTCACCGATTACGTTTATTTTTTCAGGGATGTAAGTAACAATTAGATACTCGTAGGGTCGCAGATGCCGACGACGACAATCCCATTACGATTTACTGGGGGATTTGTGTATAGACTATATAAACACACGTTACTAGCGGTCATGAAATAGAAGGTTCATAGTGTTCATACAGCAATGACGTATTATTATATTATATGAAAACAACATGAAATATATTAATGACACCCTTTGGTCTCGATAACCTAACCGCATTAGGAAATTTCATTATATTATACTGCGGATTACAGGAAGGTACCGATCGTGTCGCTAGATAGTAAGAATCTAACCATCGCAGTTATATAATTTTTTAAGTGGAATATTATATTTATAATATAAAATATTTTACTAGCTGTATAACCATGATTTTCTACTATAGAGTATTTTACCACCAACTTTTCCGGGGAAAAATGTAACACACACTAAATACGATGCTACAAATAGTACACATAGTTGTATCTTGAATTTAGTGTAGATCAATTCACGAGCAAATTGTCATCAGTATACCTTGCTTTGTGAACTATAATTCGGCCGAGATGGGTTGTAGTAAATTTAAATGACAAAAGTTTAAATATTATTTTATTTTATTAAAAAAAAAATACATAGCAACGCATACGATACCATCTATATGGTATATGTATACCATTAAAAAAAAAAATTTATATTTTTCCGTTTTATCTAAAAACTAAAAAATTATTATAAATCACGTAGTTAATAAAAATAAAACTATGAAAGGTTTTCAACATTTTCAAAGATAAACTCTATAAAATAGGTATCTTTATTTTTTTCGAAAATCAAAAACTAAATTAAATTAAAAAATAAAATGCAAGTAGCCCTTGTCTATGCGAGTCTAATAAAAAAAAAAAATAAATAAATTCAGATTTATGATATATTTATTATCTCAGGAGATATCGCAATGAGTAAATCCTTGCGGAACACCCTTACTATTACTGTTAACAATATGTGCGCCGTGCAYTTATAATACTCACAATTGGTGGTTATCAGGACTTTGTGTTTAATAACAAAACATTATTTATTTGAATTCTGAGGATAATGCAACTGCAGAGCAATATACAAAAACAAAGACAGACAAAATCTTTTAATTATATGCTGGTTTTTAAATTATAATTTACAACATGATTAACGTAAACGTTTTTGATTWTTGGGCCTGCAAGACTAATTGTTATTTACAGGTGAGGCAATTACATTAATGATCATACTTCTCATCTACGGAATAAGTGCTGTACAATACAATATCGTCGTRGTTTTCGACGACAATCTAAAAAAAACGCATATTATGCGTTTCTATATACTATCCAATATTTCGAAAGCTTTTTATTAGCGCCTACGATGATGGATAGAGCAAATAATAAACATTTGACACTACAAGTCACGAGTCGAGAATGTCTGAATGTCGAAACCGTACCAACTGTAGACCTACGACCAAATATTTCTTAACAGTGAAATACCTATGGCCTATGCCTACTTATTACGATCCATTCGAATTTCATTCCCATTTCAGTAGTACAAAAGACAAAAGTACCTATACTAGCTGAGTGTATGGTGAGAGCAGGYCAGCCTAACCTAACCTTTTATTAATAAAAACTATATTATTTATACAAAAATATTCGCATGGGTACATGTTTAATGAAATAGGTAATTATTTCGATAAAAATTTTCCAAAATGTTGTTGTACTTCATTATCCTATTCGAAAACAGACATATCTCGATCGAAAATAAGTCTGTAAATATTCATTTACGAATCATCCTAAATAAAAACTTGATTTGAAAAATAATCGGTTAACTACAGAACTTATCTAATCAATATTTGTACAATATGAAGTATTTCTGTGGATTTTWATAATGTATCGCATATGAGGCTGTTTAAAACGTAGATAATGATTATTATCTWCTGGAAAGGAGGGAGGGGGTCAAAAGAAACGAAATCAAATTTAAATTTATASTTATTTCCGAAAAGATAATCGTATCAAATTATGTATGATGTATAATTACTCATATATAATGAYTTTAATGGTGACATCGCAAGCGCTATTAAATGTATCAAGTATATGGACGTATAACATTAAAGTCAATTTTTATTTTCTTCATACTTAAAACCTATAGGTAAATTTACGTATGCGAATTCATGATGATTTACATATTAAAAAAAAATTATATATACATTTCAATTATTAATATTGGTGCATAAATTACGAGTTTTCACAGTCCATCAATGGGATTTTGCAATGAAGTATTAAGTGTAAGTACCTACACAGCCTGTGTCTGAAACACAGATTATAAATTTTCTACAATTTTAAATACACCAATAACAATGAATTCATTTTGCATTGAAAAAAAATAGTAAATTTGTCAGAAAAGCTAAAGAAATACGAATATTTAGATAGCCAATGTCTTAAAAAGCTCATATTATATGATTTTTTTCTAACAATTTAATGATTAAAACTTTTTTGAAGTTGGTAAATTAATAAATTACGTATTTTTTGTAGATGTGTATTATAATGTATCATGTTGTAATTTTGCACTGAAATCGTCAATTGATTGCAATTTTTTGCCACAAATTTCGTGTATAGATTTCAACCTATAGTCTACATTACAATATATGTACCTACAATACCTATATAATATATATAACCCAATATTATATCATTTGATTCGAACAAATGACCCGAGTTTTGGGGTGAACTTGGAGGATTTTTGAAATATGAGAGCTTCTGAAGGTGTTTAATATTATATGAATATATAGGTACCTAATGTAGCTATATATATATATATATACGGATACACGCGTAACCATCGCGTGACGAACACACACGACGCTGATCTTCCTCAAGTATATAATAACTATAATAATAAAATATGATCTGCTCGAACGCTAATTCACTGCAGTAATCGATGCGTCCGTCCATATTTTATACATTTTTTATCATTATAATGTATTATATTATACACACGGTGCATAATTATATTATATTTATTTAATATACCTAATATTATACACATATATGCGTATTTGCTGATCTCGTGCGTTCGCATACGACTATAATATCCGCGCAGAGTAATATATTTGGTAAATTTGTCATGTAAACGAAGAAAATCGTATATTATATTATGACACCAATAAAAATATTTTGGATAACATGCCTAGTAGAAAATCATTGATCCAGTGTAAAATATTATCCGACACTATCCCGCACCGGAATAATGCATCACGCGTGATTATATTGTGCTAACATCCCGGTGCGCTTTATTTTCACACTGGTTTGACAGTTTGAGCAAGCGAATTTCTATGTATAATATTCTTCAATAAGTGATAACATTTATGTTCTTCCCGTAGAATCTACTAAAATATACYTCTCTAATTGCGCTGTGGGTCAATAATATCTGGGAACATTCGATTCAAAACAAGAATTCGAATTTTAACATATATTCACGTGCACGAATTACATATAGATTTGCATACTAACTTGCTAAGTGTAATTCCTYTTATCAGATTGGTTTAAGAAAAGGTGAAAATCAAAATTGACTGATATCATATTGTGTGGCTGTGACATGGTCTTATGATAATATAAGTTGTTTAATTGCGCATAGACGCAAATTTACGCAAGGTGATAAGTATACCTATGGTATACCTACTAGATTCATTACGATTTGACATAATCTTCAGGGTTAAGCGTTTACATAAAGGTAATACAGTGAGTCTTTGAAATGCAATCGAGTAAGTTTATATATATATACATATATGGTAAACTCATATGGACTTAATGAGCGAATATCGATACTTATGCGGTCGAATGACAAAACTTCAAAAATGCACCATGAGAACTGAAAAGGTAAATCACATGACAGCAGTATACTYAAATAAATAAATATATTATTTATCTTAACGCAATAAATCCTTTGTACGTGTATATCATATCTAAATATATAGTAGGATCACTCCAAACAATTTTATAGATGTTGCCGTAAAAAAAAAACAGTTTGAATAAATTCATAATTTAAACGTGAAAATGGGGCGAGCAATGCACACTGTGAATGAGAGACCATCTTTAACATAAATTTCATAACGTTATTGTCGTATATTATTCAATATTTTTTTTATACTCACTGGCCGAGGGAGCGTCCATCGTCATGGCCGCGGCCGGTCCGGTGGTWTCGGGATACGAGGCGTATGCAGCTCCTCCGAGTGGCGCCGCTGCATTTGGTGAATACGCCGACGTCGAATAACCACTGCACCAGTTACTTGACTCGGGCACGCCGACGGGTAAGTCGGAATGTTCGTCTGAAAAGTTTACCAGAAATAAAAAAACCTCATCCGTCGAGACGACACGCATCAAGCGTAGATGCCCTATACGCGCATCGATACAATTATATGACAACAACTTTTTATTTATACTTTCATAAAATAATTCGTGTTTAAGAGGACGCCACATCCGCGTTAAATATTATCTTRCGTACGCGTACATAGCACWTTTACGYTCAGCAGTTCAATTCTTATTCGGTTAGCTTAGAAATTAGARTGAATACACTTATTACGAAACTTGACGACAAGAAAACATTTTCTGTGTTTGGTTGGAATTTTTTTACGATAATTCAGTATAGAGTTATATGAGCATTATTATTTTACAATTTATTATTATGTAAACGTATAAACTTAAAAACTGAATTATCATAAAATAAACTTCCAACAAAACACACTAATAAAGTTCTTGCTGTCAAGTTTCATCATAGGTCTATTCATTTTATTTTTTTAAAGCAACGWAATAAGACGTGAACTGGTGATCATAAATTTGCTATATGTTACGCGTTTGTAAGACTGCGACGACGCAAAAAATAAATGCGGACGTGGCTTCCACCTAATATTAATTGTAACAATTCTAATCGTTATTGAAAGTATACATTCTAATATTACATGCTCGTCCATCGTACCGGCCTCAAAACCTAAATACCAGGAGCGTTCCTGCAATGAGCATTTGCTATATATTTATCCACTTGGCCCATTTGCCATCTTAATCCCAGAATAGGATGAAAATCGTTAACTACGTTTTAGACGTKCAGRCGTGTAGCTCTATATATCATATACACTCATCAATCATAATATCTCGCCCGTTGAATTCACTCCAGTGGCGCTGCAGGGGGGTGGGTTCTTTGAAGGAGGCGCGTGGTAGGTATATAATAATATTATCATCAATTTCATATATTATATTATGTTTATGGTAATAATGATAATAATAGTATTAAATTCACACGAAACAAGCGCATATATATTATTATTATTGTAATATTATAATCGTACGCGCGTTAAAAAGACGTCCTGCGGCCCTAAAGAGAAGACGGACGACAAATTGAACGAGACACGGCGCGAGTACATTATAATTGTTATTATTATTATTATTTTTATTATTATTATTGTTATAATATGCAGTACCCACTCGAAAATACAATTGTGATAAAGTCGTCGTTGTCGTCAGAGCGTGCGGCGGTGGTGGYGGCGTCCACGGGGGCAGGGGAGAGGCTCGTGCTAGCGTATTATATTAGAATATATTTGTAATAATAATAATATAATGGCTCATTAGTCATTGTCGTCAAATCGGAATGAAACACGGCGGAGAAGAAAAGAGAACATGTTAATAATAAAATTCTTTTTTTATAAAAAATTAATATAATCACTGCTGCAACAGTAACAACGCGACGAAAACCCGCTGCAGCCGGTACACACATGGTATGGTCTCATTCATTGTGCGCCATAACATACAATTCGTATACATATGTATAGAATAAAGTAGGTATAGGTACACAGGTTAGGTTTGGTAGATACATTTTTTCGGCGGTAAATAATTAATGGCCGACTGCGCTAAGGACATGCGATATTTCACGCGTCGAATGGATCTTCGTCGTCGCAGTCGTCTCTTCATATGTGTGTGTGTGTGTGTGTGTGTGTGCGTGCGAGGGCGCGTTGCGCGTGAGGACAATGCCTCAGGGCGAAAACGAAACAATATAATAAAACGTTTGAAGATATAACACGAACACATGTCGGCCGCTCATGTACTTATAATTGTATTGAAATTTGAAGTAATATTATATAATATATAACTAAAGTATTGTAACATAATAATTATAGAGACGTTTAGAGAGGAAAAATAATTTACGAAAATAAATCCTGATATAATGGAAATCGTCGAGTTTGTGACCAGAGGGCTCCGCGGAGATATGTGCAGCGCATACATGTTATATTATGTTGTTTTACGTATAGGATATTATGGGTTGAAAAATCGATGGATGTATCCTATGTCCGCACTGCGATGATGATGATGTTGACGTCACCTCTTCGTACACAATAGAGTAGGACGTGTTATAGGCATAAACGTGTATACTACATATATAAATAATAAATATATATGCTTTTTTTTTTTAGTTAGAAGTGCGCGACCTGTGAACGGCCGTTTAATATTCACGAGTCGAAGACCGGCGAGTGGTGTTTTACCGAGATTTATGATACATAGCTTTCGGTTTTTTTTTTACTATTTCTTCGTATATGTACTTACGCATGGAAAACATTTGTCAAAATTATTCCGTATATTATATTATATTATATAGCTGGTGTTTCAGGTGATCATTAATCGAAGTGCGAAAACGATATATTACATCGACTATTTTATCCTTAATGTAATATTGTATATAATATGTATTCCTTCATTGTACATAAAATAATGTCATAATATATTATACAAACAACACACGCAATGTGCTTACGATAATATATCGACTTAAACGCCTACGATTCGCCTATACAATATGATTTACATATATCATAACATGGTACATGAGCTTGTGTGTTGATATATTTAAGTATAGTTGAAAAAATATGTAGGTACTTGAGTTTTGTTGAGATTACTGATTTGCAATTTTTCAACGAGTTCRGTTCGTATTTAACGAAGTTTCAGTCAAAATAAAGGCGCAGTTGAAATGTTTACCTAAAAAATATTGAGCTTTTACTATTTAAAATTATGATTTCCGAAACAATAAATAATAATGCATGCGCGTGTGCTTAAAACGATATGAATTTCTAAAAMTTTTCWTCTTCGAAAAAAAAAAATTATATTTTACTTTAAACGTTAAAAGAACAATGTAATAAACTAATAACTAATTTATATGAAGGGATAAAAAATTATTTTTTCAAATATGCGTATCAACAGATTTGTATGTGACAAAAATTAAAAACATCCATCTCTGTTCCATATTTGTTTAATTAACACAATTTTAAGTCCTCTACTGAGAAATTCGTGTAAGTACATGGTTAGGACGTACTTATAGTCTGTATTATAAAGTATATTAGAATTTTAAATATTATAAATTTATAAGAATCTATTAAAATTTAAAATCTGGGTCCAAAAAACCAAGTCCAACAAACGGACCAGATCGCCTATGAAAATGTACATTAAAAAGTTAATACGCATAATGTGACTTTGTGACCTTAAAAAAACAAGAACCAGAACTACTACCCGTATATTATAGTCTATAATAATATAGACATAGAGTTAGCACGTAGTAACATACGCAGCTCGTAATTGGTCAGCCATGACGAACTATATATAAGCAATATGTGCAGTATTGCAAATAATACCTACATATAAACCACAATAATAATATATAATACGTATTATATGTTACACATACTAATATATTATATATTTATATTAATATTGTTTGGCAAATGATAATTCAGCGTAAACAAAAATAATGAATTTTTATGTGTGCGTTCAAACTTTAATAATTAAAAAATTAAAAAATTAATAAATAATAAATAAATAAATAAAAAAAAATTAATAAATAATTAAAACGATCAATTGTTCTTGTTTGTATTTTGTATATACCTACCTAGATAGGGATAATATGTTTAAGAATAGGGAATTTAGTATATTTATGGTTGCAAAAGTTTCCCAGTGGCTGCTCGTCAAGGGAGGCAAGTGAAGCTCAGCCTCACCTAAGTATTGTAAAGAAAAAGGAAGGACATATTCTATAATTATTGTTATTTCCAATCGACTTCAAGAATATTAAAATACTCAATAATTATATTATACATTTTAAAA